CCTCGGCCTCCCAAAGTGCTGGGATTACAGGCTTGAGCCACCGTGCCCGGCCGCATATAAACGTTTGAATTTCAATGTAGTCAAATCTATCCATGTTTTCCCATACTTGTTTCTGTTTTTTTGTAAACTGTTTATAAACTGTCATTGTATACCCTGAGGTCAGAAAGATATTCTCCTATGTTTTTATCTGAAACTGTTATGTTTTTGGCTTTCCATATTCTTCCATATTGATTCTAGAATTAATTTTTGCATAGAGTGAGAGTTAGCAGAACCATTTTACTTTTTCCATAGATCAAGAACTATCTGTAGATAGGTAACACTTGTCCCAGCTGATTGAATTGCCCATCATTTTGCCACTGGTTTGAAATGTCACCTCTGTCATGTAAAACAGCGGTTCCCAATCTTTTTGGCACCAGGGACCAGTTTTGTGGAAGACAATTTTTCCACGGACATGGGGGCAGGGATGGTTTCAGGATGATTCAAGGGCATTACATTTACTGTGCACTTTATTTCTATTATTATTACATTGTAATATATAATGAAATAATTATACAACTCACCATAATGCAGAATCAGTGGGATCCCTGAGCTCGTTTTCCTGCAACTAGATGGTCCCATCTTGGGGTGATGGGAGACAGTGACAGATCATCAGGCATTAGATTATCATAAGGAGCATGCAACCTAGATCCTTCACATGTACAGTTCACAATAGGGTTTGTGCTCCTGTGAGAATCTAATGCCACTGCTGATCTGGCAGAAAGCGGAGCTCAGGCAGTAACACGAGCAATGAGGAGTGGCTGTAAACACAGACGAAGGTTTGCTCCTGCTGGCTGGCTCACTCCTAACCTGTCACTCAACCTCCTGCTGTACAGCCCGGTTTCTAACAGGTCACAGACCCATACCAGTCTGTGGCCGGGGGTTGGGGACCCCTGATGTAAAAAGTTTCTGTAGGGGTAGGGGTCTGTTTTAGGCTCTCTATTCTTATCTGTTGCTCTGTTTATCTAATCCTGTACCAAGTATCAAATGTTTTCATTTATGAGATTTTTTAAAATTTAAGCATTTAATTATTTAAATAGGTAATACATTTATATAAGGCAAAATAAGATATAAAAGAAAAAGTGTCCATCCCACATCCTTTCCCCCATTCCACTTCTAAACAGATAAACACAGATTTTTATGTATATTCAAGCAACTATAAATATATAATTATCCCTCCATCTTTTCACACAATTGTGATGTGTCATTTACACTAGATTTTTTACCTAACAGTATGCCCTGAAGATCTGCCATGTGAGTACATTGAGAGATTCCTCATGTTTTGTATAGGTTTATGGCTTTTTTTTTGTATGGGAATAATATATGTATCATAGTTTATTTAACCATTCCCCTATTGATGAGCATTTAGGTTGTTTTCAATCTTAACTATTACAAACAACTCTGCATATGTCCCTTCCCTCTGCATATTCTGCAAATCTATCTTTAGAGTAAATTCTTAGATTTGTTAGATCAGAGAATACATACATTTCTAATGTGAATAGGTTTTTGCCAGATTGTCCTTCATGGAGACCAGATCAGTTTATACCCTAACAGCATTGTTTCCTCAGCCTTATCAACAGAGTATATATTTCAAATTCTTGGATTTTTAAAATCATTTTGACAGCTGAAAAATGGTATCTTGGTGTTGCTTTAATCTGCATTTCTATTATGAGCAAGGGAGAACCTTTTTCTGTGAACCACTTGATCATATCCTTTGCCAATTTTTCTATCGAGTTCTTGGTTCTTTATCTCATTGGTTTCTATGACCACTTTATAAATTAGGGAGATTAACCTTCTGATGAAAAGAGTATCCCCAATAAAGTTATCTTTGACTTTGTATTTTGGCATAAAGATTTCCTTAATGTAGTGTAAGTGTTCTATTTTTTTCTCTAAGGTCTTCTCTGTCTTAGGTCATAATTTGAAAGATCTTCCTGATCCCAAGATTACATAAGGATTTTCTCAAGTTTTCTTCTAGCATATTGTGGCATGATTTTGGCTTTTCAATCTTTGATCCATTTGGAAGTTATTCTGGTATATGGTGCTAGGTATGACCCTAACTTTATTTTTTTTTCCACATGACCAACCAATGACCCCAACCACATTTATTGAACAGTTAATCATTTCTCCTACTGATCTTAGAAGCCAGTTTTTTTCATATACTAAGCTCCCATATGTGTATTCACTTCTATTTCTGGACTTTCTATTATAGTTGATTGGCCTGTCTTGCTGTTCATGCATCAGTTCCTCACTGTTTCAATTACTGAGACTATTACGTTTTAATATCTGGTAGAGCTAGTCCCCTGATAGTACTCTTCAGAGTTTTTCTGAATGTTTTTGTTTCTTATTTTTTCACATGAACTTTAGAATCAGCTTGTCTGGCTAAAAAATAAAATTGCTGATATTTTATTGAGCTCACATTAAATTTAGAAATTAACTTAGGGAGAATTGACATCTTTATGATGTTGAGTCTTCCTAGCCAAAAACATAGTCTTTCCAATTATTCAAGTCTTCTTTTGTGTCCTTTAGAAGTGTTTCAACATTTTCTTTGTATAGGACTTGCTCCTACCTTTAACTTTATTGAAAGGTAGTTTATTTTTGTTGTTGTCATTGTCACTACTCTTGTAAATTAGATATTTTCTTTCATTCTGTCTTCCAAATGGTTATATTTATACATGACGGTAGTTAATTCTTGTTTTTTAACTTTACGTATCCCTCTTACTAAATTCTCTCACTGTTGGCAATAGTTTCCCTGTAGGTTCTTCAGGGCTTCCAGGTATATAATCATCTACAAGTAGTGCTAATGTTACATCCTCCTTCCCAGCTTTTGTCTCTCTAATATTTTTCTTTTGCTTTGTTGCATCATTTAGTAGTACAGGGGCAGTCCAACAAATAACATCCTTTTTCTTTGCCCAAATTCTGAACCCACTGAGAATAAAACAGATGGAAGACAAAATATCATTTTATTGCTGACAAAGTTTAGGTATGAGAAAGTGTGGCTTCTATCTGCCCTACCCACTCATTCACAAGCAGCACTAGCCTGGGTGCACCCCTTTAACCATAGGCCATGGGCTCTGACATGGAGTATTTCCATCAAAAATCATTTTAAAAATATTATTTGATTCATATTTCCTCTTTAACCCAAGCCTGTTGGGTCAAAGTCTTTGTTTGATTGTTTCCATTTTCCACATAGAGGGTGATGTGATTTGGTTCTGTGTCCCCATCCAAATCTCATGTCTAATCATAATCCCCATGTATTGGGGGAGGGACTTGATGGGAGGTGATTGTATCATGCGGGTGATTTTCCTCATGCTGTTCTCATGATAGTGAGGGAGTTCTCATGAGATCTGATGGTTTAAAAGTGTGTGGCAGTTCTACCCCTCCCTCTCTTTCCCCTGCCACCATGTAAGACGTGCCTTGCTTCCCCTTTACCTTCCACCATGATTGAAGTTTCCTGCGGCCTCCCCAACCATGTGAAACTGTGAGTCAATTAAACCTCTTTTCTTTTTAAATTACCCAGTCTTAGATAGCTCTTTAAGGCAGTGTAAAAACAGACTAATACAGAAAATTGGTACCAGGAGAGTGAGGTACTACTATAAAGATACCTGAACATGTGGAAGCAACTTTGGGACTGGGTTACAGGCAGAAGTTGGAACAGTCTGGAGGGCTCAGAAGAAGACAGGAAGATGTGGGAAAGTTTAGAACTTCTTAGAGACTTGTTGAATGGTTGTGACCAAAATACTAACAGTAAAATGGACAATGAAGTCCAGGCTGAGGTGCTCTCAGACAGAGATGAACAACTTATTGGGAACTGGAGTAAAGGTCACTCTTGCTATGCTTTAGCAGAGACTGGCGGGATTTTGCCCTTGCCCTAGAGATCTATGGAACTTTGAACTTGAGAGAGATGATTTAGGGTATCTGATGGAAGAAATTTCTAAGCAACAAAACAATCAAGATGTAACCTGGCTGTTTCTAAAAGTGTACAGTCATATGCATTCAAAAGAGATGATCTGAAATCGGAGCTTATGCTTAAAAGGGAAGTAGAGCAAAAAAGTTTAGAAAATCCCAGCCTGGCCAAGTGGTAGAAAAGGAAAACTCATTTTCTGGGGGGAAATTCAAGGCAACTACAGAAATTTGCATAGTAACAAGGAACCAAATGTTAATAGCCAAGACAATGGGAAAAATGTCTCTAGTGCATTTCAGAGATCTTCGTGGCAGCCCCTCCCATCACAGGCCTGGAGGTCTAGGAGGGAAAAATGGTTTCATGGACCAGGCCCAGGACCCGGCTGTTCTGTGCAGCCTCAGGACATGGCACTCTGCGTCCCAGCAGCTCCAGCTCCAGCCATGGCTAAAATGGGCCAAGGTACATCTCAGATCGTGCAAACCCCAAGCCTTGGCAGCTTCCATGTGGTGTTGGGCCTGTGGGTGTGCAGAAGACAAGAATCGGGGTTTGGGAACCTCCACCTAGATTTCAGAGGATGTATGGTAATGCCCTGATATCCAGGCAGAAGTCTGCCACAGAGGTGGAGTCCTCATGGAGAACCTCCATTAGGGCAGTGTGAATGGGAAATGTGAAGTTGGAGCCTCCACACAGAGTCCCCACTGAGGCACTGCCTAGTAGAGCTGTGAGAAGAAGGCCACTGTCCTTCAGACCCTAGAATGGTAGATCCACTGACAGCTTACACTGTACACCTGAAAAAGTCACGGGCACTTAGCACCAGCCCGTGAAAGCAGTCACAGGAGCTCTACCCTGCAGAGCACAGGGGTGGAGCTGCCCAAGGCCTTGGGAGTTCACTCCTTGCATCAGCATGCCCTGGATGTAAGACATGGAGTCAGAGGAGACTATTTTGGAGCTTTAAGATTTAATAACTGCCCTGCTGGGTTTCAGACTTGCATAGGGCCTATAGCCCCTTTGTTTTGGCCAACTTCTCCCTTTCAGAATGGAAGCATTTACCCAATGTCTGTACCCTCACTGTATCTTGGAGGTAACTAACTTGTTTTTATTTTTTATTTTACAGGCTCATAGGCAGAAAGGACTTCTCATATCTCAGATAAGACATTGGACTTCGACTTTTGAGTTAATGCTGGAATGAGTTAAGACTTTGGGGGACTGTTGGGAAAGCACAGCTGGTTTCGAAATGTGAGAAGAACATGATGTTTGGGAGGGGCCAGGGCAGAATGATATGTCTTGGCTCTGTCCCCACCCAAATCTCATGTCAAATTGCAATCCCTACATGTGAGGGGAGGGATCTGGTTTGAGGTGATTGGATCATGGGGGTGGTTTCCCTATGCTGTTCTCATGATAGTGAGTGAGTTCTCACAAGATCTGATGGTTTAAAAGTTTAAAAGTGGCAGTTCTTCCTTCACTGTCTTTCTCCTGCTGCTATGCAAGACATGCCTTGCTTCGCCTTCACCTTCCACCATGATTGTAAATTTCCTGAGGCCTCCCAGCCATTTAAACCAATTAAACCTCTTTTCTTTATAAAGTACCCAAACTCAGATAGTTCTTTATAGCAGTGTGAACATGGATTAATACAGAGGGGCTTTTTTGTTTTCTGATTTTAGTATTAATTTCTAATTTAAACTTTTGTAATTAGAGAATATTGTCTAAACCATCACTTTTACTTTTGTATGGATATATACTAGTTGATGATTTGATACCAGTATTCAAGGTGTAATGATCAAATCAGGATAATTGAGATATCCATCACCTTACACATTTATCTTTTCTTTCTGTTGGGAACATTACAGTGTCCATATTATTAATATTTTTATTTTTGTAATTTATCAAGGTTTTCTTGTTGTCTTATATTAATTGTCACAAACATTTTATGGCCAATTGAATTTTTCAATGGTAGATTATCTGTTTTTAGAATATAGATTTCAAAATGATATTTAGTCTTCTCTATCCTTAACTATTTCTTGTCCATTTGCCTAATATATACTATGATCACTGAATTAAGTCTTCCATTAATCATGTATTTATGGTTTATTTCCCCTTGTAGCTCCTGTAGTTTCAGTTTTATGAATATTGATGCTATATTGTTTTGTGCATAGATACCTATAACGGTTATGGACAATGACGTCCAGGTATGATACACATGTGTAGTCCACACCCACATTATATCAGGGTTGGTCTTTATGATCTATAGAATATGAAAATATCACAAAAATTATGGTATATATTACTTCTGATATTAGGTTATAAAAGACACCAGGACTTTCATCTTGGGTGCTCTCTGTTTCTCTCTGCCTCCCTCCCCCTTTCTCTCTGCTGCCCCAACAGCCAAATGAGCGAGCTTGGAGCTGCATCTGCCAGTCCCAGTAAAGCTTTCAGCTGATTATATCCCTGGCCAGCAGCCTACTGCAGCCTCCTGAGGAACCCTGAACCAAGCCAGAACCACCCAGCTAAGCAGCTCCACGATTCCTGATCTTCAGAAACTCTATGAAATAATAAATGTTCATTGTGTTAAACTGCTAAATGTTAGGGTAATTTGATATGCATCAATGGATAATAAATATGTTAATTGTAAATAGCAACCTTTACATATAACATGCCTGTCTTTGACTCATTTAATGCTTTCTGACTTGAGATCCTGTTTGTCTAATTATGATCTTTGTCTTCGTGTCTGCATTTGATGGATAGACCTTTGCCAAAACGTTTATTTTAAATCTATATGAATGGCTTTGCTTTAGGTATAATATGTCTCTTTTATACTGCTTAGTATTTCTTTCTTTGTGACAGTCTTTTTCTTTTAATAGGTGATTTTAGCCTGTTCACATTTATTAATATGACTGATGTATTTGGTCTTGGCTTCTGCATATTTTTCAGTATTGATGTTACTTTGCTGAGTTCTTTACTATGAACTCTCTTTTCTTTGTGTGTGTGTGTGTGTGTATGTGTGTGTGTGTGTGTGTGAAGTTAGTTTGACAGTTAGAAAAACTGCATTTTTGTTTTAGTGGTTATATTTGTACTTAGGACTTTATATAACTTCTTTAGTTCTCTACTTCTTTAGATAGCATCTATTAGTTCCCTCCTATGAACAATGATAAAGCGGTGTACTTCTTTCTTCTCCTTTACTTTTCTTTTCTCCACTTCTCAATTTATGTCATTTATATTACTTTTTCGGTATATACTTCTGTACTGTTAAATAGGCATATAGTTCAATCACTTGATTTGTCAGCTTTAAAATACATGCTTTTACTCTTGGTTGTAAAAGTTTAAGCAAACAGCAAACACTCTATCTTCAATCTTCCTCCTGATCCTCTCATAATTTATATTCATTGTATCATTGCTATATTTTTTGAACATTATTTATCTTCTATTCCTCAGCCTAATCTTCACACTGTTTTTAGTTATTTAGTTATTTTGCTCCAACTTCCCTAGTTAACTATTGGTTGATTATGCTGAAATCATGCATGTTCAAAATTGCTTGTCTATAGCCTTTATAACTGAAGAACTGCTCACTGAAGAGCACTTGGGCTGGATATAAAAATCCTCAGGTGTCATTTTCTTATCTTGAGGACTCTGTAGATGTTACTCCTCTGTCTTATAACATTAAAAGTTAATTTGAATAAATCTAAGGCTATTCTTATCTCTTTTTTTCCTCTATACATGACCTAAACTTACCTGGATTATCAAGATTCTTCCTTTATCTGTAAGGTAGAATACATTTACCAGACTATGTCTTGGTATTACCATGAATTAATATATATAGTCAATCCTACTTTATTTCAGGAAGTAGCCTCTTGAATTAAGCTTTAAATATTCATTCTGTACTATTATATTGGTTAACTGCTTTGAGGACTCCAAAAGTCCACAAGTTGAATCTTCATTGCCTGTTTTATATACCAATCATTTTGTTTCCCCCAATCCTTTCAAAAAATATTCTTCCGTTTCATTTTGCTTGCTTTTCTCATTTTTATCCTCTAGTTCACTTACTGTTTTCCTCAAAGTACATTCTCCTTTGTACTTATTCTAAGCTATCTTCATTTCTGGATGATTTCTTTTATATTCCCTTCTTGGATTTTGCCAGCTAATGTATTTTTTCTTTCTATAATCATACCTTTTCTTCCCTGGGCTTTTTCATCTTTGCTTTGTTGTCTTGCTTCATATAGGCAATAACTCCAAAAAGATTTTTTAATTCACGATAATGTTTGGTCCAAATTTTTATCTGCTGTGGCAACCTTTCTCTGGGGAGTAGTCTTTGTCTATTAATAAACTTGTGAATATTTTCTTTTTAACTTAGTACACAAAATTATCTTTGTATTGATGCATTTCTTATAATATCTTTGTTTTGATGCTCTATTAGATCCTTGTTATTACTCCTCATAGCACTAAAAATCTTTGCTAGCACTGAATAAGTTGAGTTCAGTTTTCCTAGACTTTCCACTGCCAGACAAGAGAATACTTTGGTTGGGGAAAGATGGAATCCCTCACTTGCTGGTTTTTACTAGAAGGGCCTGTTCTCTGCTGCCACAGAAACAAATTGCTTCTGAAAAGAGGTTCACCCGTATGATTTTTTGTGTAGCCCTGCATCTTCAGTTTTTCTCAACCAAATCAAGTCCAAGAAGTATTTTCCCATTAGCACATTTAACTCCAGTTATTGCACCTGTTTTTGAAAATAGGAGATATAGCTTTTGCATCTCTGAATATATACCCCTTACTTTTAGGAAGAATATTTTTGCCTAGCTATCTCATCAAAGAGATCTTTCTGGGAGCTTCTTTCTCTTCATTTCCTCCTATTTGTTTTTTCCTAATCTCAGCTTCTTTGGACAATTCTTACACATATTTGGGAGTCTTGGGTAATACCTGTCCTCAAGTTTTGCCAAAAATAGAGTTTATTTTTTCATCCTTTTTGTTGCTTTTGGATGATTTCTAAGAGAAGGAGAAATATGCTGATTTATACAACCGTATCTATTCCAGATGTACACACTGTCTTAATTACCAACATTTTAAAATAAGTCTTACTTTTTGCTAGGGCAAATTTAACCACCTTGTTCCTTTTCTTCAATTGTTTAACTGTTACTGAAGCTTAGTTCTTTCATATAAATTTTAGAATAAGTTTTAAAAATTATATACATACATACACACAGACACACACTGTTGGTATTTTATTTTAATCCTAATAAATATATTATTAATTTAGAGAAAATTGACACCTTCATAACATTGACTCTTCCTATCCATTAATATTATATATTTTTATTTTGATCTTTGATAACTTAAAGTTTTATATTTTTTCCCAAAAGGTCTCTTATGTATTTTGTTAGATTTATTCCTAAGTACCTTATTTTTTCTGTGCATATTATAAATGCTATCTTTTTAAACATTTATTTTTAATACTTTGTTGTGGTATATGGGAATACAATTGATTTTTGTATGTTGATTTTATTTGTAGTGAGCAAATTCACTTAGTTCTCATTACTTTTAATAGTTTGTCTGTAGATGCTCTTAGATTTCTACATAAATCGTTATATCCTATCATAATCAATCACAATCTAGCTTGTTTCTTTATCTTGCCTTACTATTCTGGTGAGGAATTCCAGTGTAATGTTTAATTGAAGCAGTGATTGCAGATATCCTTGCATAATTCCTAATTTTAAAGAAAGTGCTTCAAATATTTTCCCACCACATACTGTGTTAGCTGTAAGTTCTTGGTAGAAACTACTTTTCAGGTTTGGAAATATCCCTTATATTACTAGTTTGCTGAGAACTTTATCATAAATGGACATAGAATTTCATAAAATCATTTTTCTTAATTCATTGGGACCATTGTTTTTTTTTTCTCTTAACTTGCTAATATTTGGGATTGAGTTAATAGATTTCAAAATGTTACATAATCTTTGCATTAATGAAATAAACACAGCTAGTCACAATGTTTTAATAAACTGCTGGATTTGGCGATTAAGGGATCATTCATTAGTCTTACTTATCTTCACGACATCTTTTTCCAACACTTTATTTTTAACCTATCTGGATCCTTATGTTTTAAGTGTGTTTGGGGTAAAAAGCATACAGCCAAAATGGGGTAGATAGACATATTTGTTTATTTTTGCCCAATATTACCATCCTTATCTTTTAACTAGAGATTTTGATCGATTTACATTTACTGCAGTTCCTCATATATTTGGGTTTATATCTACCATCTTATTGTCTGCTTTTTGCTTACCCTGCTTCTCTTTGCTTCTTTATTTACTTTCATTTTCCATCCTCTTTTGAATTAATCAAGGCTTTTCTTTAATTCATTTTTTCCTTTACTGGTTTATAAGTTATACATTTTATTTCTACTTTTTTACTAGTTACCTTTAAATTTTTAACATGCATTCTTAACACAATCTAAAATGAAGTAATATTTTTCCTCCTCCCCAGCAACACAAAGACTTTAGAATGCTTCACCTTAAATTACTCTTCTTCCCATCTTATACAATGTTACTTTCTAGTATTTTAGTTCTACCTTGATTTTTGACCCCCAATTAGTCATAATCCTTAATATTATATTATTGTTTGACAGTGTTTGTTTAAATGTATCCTCATATTTACTTTCCTTACCCAGCGATCCTTTTTGCATCACATTCCCTCTTTTTGGGTTCAATATCCTTCTTCCCAAATATGCCTTTAGAAGTTCCTTTAGTGAAGGTTTTTGGTGATAAACTCTCTCATATCCAGGATCTCCCCTTGTTTCTCCTCTGTAATTACTTGGACGTGCTTCATGGTCCCCATATCCCACTTTGTCGCTTCGAGGACTCTTATTACGCTTATTTTAAATTATTGTTCCTCCTGGTCTGTTAGCTCTCTCCCTCAGATGCAATCATCTATATCTCAGATGCGATCAAGGACTGATGGGAACTGGGGAGGTGGTAAGCTCAAGGGCTGATCTATTCACTGTGCATGTTATTATCACTGTCACTGGTGTTTCTACCCTGCAGTGGCAACAGGATGGGCAGTGACCCATTGAGGGCAATGTGGGGGAAATTCAAGGGTGCCATATAATCCTATGGTCCCTGTACTCCTCTGTCTGGCTTCATGACTGGCTTTGTGCCCTGGACTCCCTGGAGAGAGATGTCTTTTCTGTAAAAGCCAGAACTTTTGCATTAATTGCACTGTCATTTGGGGCTGGTTTCTTTTTTAAAGCAAAAAAAAAGTAGATCAGAAATGGTCTCATTTGATGGTCTGTTTTCAAACTGTTGCCTTTTATCAACCCAAACCTCAGCTCTGGGGAGATTTAGAAGATCATACGTTTCTTGTATTTGTTTAGTGTCCTAATCAGGTCCCAGTCAGCTTTGCTATCCAGTCACAACTCACATAATAGCCTTCCACAAACCCACAACAAACTCCCGAAGAGCCCTGCAACACACATGGAGCTCCAAGGCCTTCCGGAGTCACTTACCCCACATCAGCCACCCCACATACCCAGGCACAAAGTCAGACACATTCAACACTCCCATGCATGTCACATGCAGCCTGCATCACCCACAAGCACACACATATCACACATGCACACTTATCCTGGCACAGGCTCACACTCCGGCCCACAGACAGGTCAACACACACTCACACGCATTCTCTTTGGGTAATAAAATCTAAAAGCAATGCCAAAGGCCCTGACTGCACAAAGCTGAAGTCAAATCTTCAAACTTCCCTAGAGCCTTGGAGGTGAGTATAAAGGCAAGCCTCACCCACCATTTCTGAGCCCTGAGGACAAATTCTTCCTGCATTGCCTTTGAAGTCAGGAGCCTTACACATTTAGTGGTGGCTTTAAAAGTCTTTCATTATAGACATTTTGGTGTCCTATTTTTCTGAACAAAAATGGAATCTATTTCCTTTTCCAAATTCTAAATAAACATACACAAGAATTTCATAGATTCACAGAATAAAGGTGCTTTGTGGACAAAAGATTTTCCTTTAAGAAAAGCTGCAATGCTGCACCCACTCTCCATGTGCCCCTGTGACCAATAGTGCCCCATGTAGAATCAAGACTCAGCCTGGGGCCATGATCAGTTCAGGGTATCACCATGATTAAGGCATTTATCATTCTGCATCATGGATGGGATTTTTAAGATCATGGTCCAGCACTTATTTGACTAAGGAAGAGGAGACCAAGAAAGGGACACAGCTGCCCAGGGTCACCAGGACACTCTGTGAGGGCAGTACTGTCAGAGGTGGGATGCAGAATACTGAGGTGTACAGAGCCTCCATGTTTGGGGAGATAAGCACCAAAGATGGCTCTGAGTGACCTTGTCTCTAAAAGGGGGATCAGGATGGTGGCTACATTAGGGGTGTGTTGAGGCTCAGATAAGGTGCATGTATTATTGAGCTTGTAGTAAGGACTCAAAAAATAAGCACACACACTCACACACACAGTACTACAATGACAGCCAGCTCCTCACGTCTTGGTGGCACACCTGGTACTGCTACCTCAAATCTTCCACCAAAGAGAGCGTGCCACCATCACCATGGTCATAGGTATGTAAGGAAAAGAGGAAGCACCCCGGGGGAGGATTCCTGGTCCTAGCCTCTCACCCCACAAAAAAACTCACTCTATGACTTTAGACAAGTACTATCTTCTCATTATATGA